AATAAAAACAATTAAAATAAAGCTCATAAACAAAAAAGCAATAAACAATGACACACATTTAAAATCTATGGCTGGGCTAAATGTAATTAGTTTAAAAAATAATGCTAGGCATGAACAAGATAGGAAAGATGGGGCGTTGGTGAGAGCGTACGAATAATCCTAAATCAGTGTAAAGTGCATTTAGAGGACATAATGCTGAGAGTTCATTATTCTGGGAAAGCACACTGGAACAACCACGTTTTCAGGCTCCTCCTAAAGACTGCCAGAGTTGGGGCATGCCTGATGTCCTTGGGAAGTGAGTTCCAGAGTTGACGGGCCACCACTGAGAAGGCCCTCTCCCTCATCCCCACCAATCGTGCCTGCGATGGAGGTGGGAGCGCGAGCAGGGCCTCTCCAGATGAACGAAGAGATCATGTGGGTTCGTACACAGAACAATTCTATAGAACATTTCAGACACTTGGCTTTATGAGGTCCAAACGAATGATTGGACCGTCTCATGTAAAGACAAAAGTTACTCCCAAAGGTATCAACACATGGAAATGAATCCCATTTGAAAGTATTTTTGAAAAAACCTCTCACCATAAAGAAATACAGAGCTTGAGTGGCTGGAAATTTGGGCTCAATAAATATAAAATCTTCAGTATTATCTCTAATGCCACTTTTTATTAGAACTTTTATATGAGTGTAGTTTGGCAAACATTGTCAGTATTTGGCATTTCCATCTTATCAAGCTTTGGCATCTGTGAGCTCTATTCCCTCTGGTTGTGAGAAGGAACATATAATAGACTCATAATGTTGTTTGATGTGTGGGACTGGCCTTTTTTCTAATGTGCTAGGGACCTGCACCATACTTTGGATTATTAGATCACACTACACCATGAACCACAACATTTATGTAGCACTGATTTAGGTGGTTAATTTAATTAATGATAGTTATAAGGCATTACTTCCTTTTATTGTCAGCATTATTTTAGAGATTACAGTTAATATGATCTTCAAAGGTCATTCTAGTCCATTGTCCTACAACACTCTGACAACAAACTTCTATTTATTACAGCTCACCAAGAAGATGGAATGTCATTATACCTTATTTTTTAAAAATTACACTCATGTTAGTGGAAGTATAGCAAAATGCTGATATTTAAAGTTGCTGCTGTTTTTCACTTCCAGTTATAGACAATATAAACAGATCTGCCCCAGAGAGCCAGTGTGGTGTCATGGTTTGAACATTAGACCAGAATTCAGGAAGACCGTGGTTTTAATCTTTGCTAAATTATATAGACTCACTGAGTAACTTTGTGCAAGTCATTGTTTAAGCTGTAGAGGAAGGCACTGGGAAACCTTAGACCAAATCTTGACATGAAAATCCTGTGATAAGAATCTTTGCTTACTTTAAGTGAGAAACAAAGCCACATAGCAACAACTAAATTGGTCTCCCAAGTAGCTTTTGAAAAACATGGCTAGGATTTTTGTTTGTTTACTAGATTTGAGGATTTGGTTGTCGGGATTTCTTCAACTGAACACTGGTGTCAACTAAAGTATAGTGGCATGGAATCTGGTATAAAGCACGAGTGCAAGTTAGTTTTTACTAGTAGGAAATGCCATACATGTCCTTGACAGTTGAGTAGCAGGTTGAAGTGCTCTTGCCCTAAATCTGCTCCATTTGCTTGCTCATTTTCTATTGACGATGGAACGGTTACTGTAGCCACTCCTTTTATTATATTCTCATTTGGAAATGGTTAAGGCTGTATGGTGCTACAGCATTGATTGTGGGATTCTATGGGAAATAGTTGAGTAGATATATAAATCATAGCAAAAAAAGTGTTAATGAGCAATTGTATGATGCTGCTGCTGCTGCTGCTGATAATCTTTATACCCCGCCACCATCTCCCCAAGGGGACTCAGAGCGGCTTACATGAGGCCAAGCCCAACAATCACAACAAAGCAAATATACAACATAAAATAATACATCAATAAAATATAATGAAAATAATAAAAGCAGTACAATATAGTCACACAATACAATATAAAATCACAATAATCCATCACGATGGGCAGGGCCGGTTGCAAGGATTAAAATGTCTAAAAAAACTAGGTGAGATAAGTAATGTAGTGTATATAGAAGGAGGTTCAAGTGGGATGAAACAATGGGGTTTAATTGCACTAGAGGGCGAAATAAAGTGCGTCCAAGGCATTTTATGCAGGGTTTGGTGAAGGTCAGGGATTATTGTTCATTCATTGAAAACTGCCAAGGTGGGCGCTTGTCTAATTTCTCTGGGGAGCGAATTCCAGAGCTGAGGGGCCACCATAGAGAAGGCCTTCTCTCTTGTCCCCACAAGTCGTGCTTGCGACGGGGGCAGGAGTGAGAGTAGGGTCTCTCTGGAAGATCGAAGGTAATTCACTCCAGTTAGTAGCCTGGCTGCCTATCGTTGGACCAATTGTATGGTATGAGGATTGTTAGAGCTTTCTCTGTTCCAATGCTGAGAGTATGTGGAGTTACTGTATTTCCATTATGAAAGCAGGTAAGAATTTGGATTTCAGCTTCAAAACTATATGTTATCATTAAGAGCAACTCCAGACTTAGGGCAACTCCATGAAGGAGAGACTCCCCAAGACACCCTTGCAGGTCTTGAAAAGGTGGGGCAGTGGCTACTATGAGGCTATCAATCTGGAATACAGTCTTCTTTTCCTATTGCCTTCTATTTTACTAAGCTTTATTGTCTTTTTTAGTGAGTCATGTCTTCTCATGATATGCCCGAAGGACAACAGTCTCAGTTTAGATATCTTGGCTTCTAGGGAGAGTTCTGGCCTAATATGCTCCAGGATCCAATTGTTTGCCTTTTTAGCAGTATCCATGGTATCCATAGAACCCTTACTCCAGCATCACATCTCCAATTAATTGATTCCCTGTCGAGCCATCACAACAAACAATAGGAAATACAATGGCATGGACAATGATACAATGTTAAACTTCAGGATCCTGCCTAGCTACTTAACAGCTGCCCTTCCAAGTCCTGGTGGTCTTCTGGTTTCTGAACTAAGTCTCTACGCTGATTAATGACTGAACCAAGGTATGGAGAAGCTTTACACAGTGGGAGTGAAAACCAATCCTGCTTGTTTCCCTCCTATGTCATCATCTAAAACAGTTCCCAACCTATGGTCCACAAGAACCAAAATATGGTCAGTAGCCTCATTATTACTACACTGTAACCTCAAAACCACATGGCAAGGTGAGCGACTGGTCTCACGAAACCCTCTTATAATGCCAAGGCAACAGGGATGTCGGGAGGGGAGAGACTGACTACCCAAGAAAGATTGATTACTACTACCACATCAGCTCTAGATGATTAAATATGGTTTTCTGTGGGTGAGCAGATGGTGACTACTGGATGGCATATGGTCTGCATCAGAAACAAGAGCTGGTGTGGTCTATCCAATGCATTTTCCTGAATCATCACTCCAAATAACCAAACCGAACCTAAAGTTGACCAAAAACTGATTCGTAACCCTTTCGGTACTAATGTTGGAGAGTGGTCCCTGTTCAAAAAAAAGGTTGGGAGCCACTGATCTAAAACAATTTTCCCACAACAGTAACCTGTGGCTTGCATTTCAGTGTAAAATCATAAGGAGATGGATTGAATCTGATTTTATCCTGTGTCACAATTGAGGCTAAATTGTCATGCCCCTGAGCTGCCCCTTGGATCCATCCTCTCACATTTAGGAATTAGGACACTCATTTTTTAAATGTGTACCAGAAAGTGTTTTGAAATCAAGACTACACTCAATTATCCCCACAAAGCATTTGAATACTTTTACTATTATATGTATACAGAATATATTATATTAGCATATCACAATATTAGTATTAAATATGCTACTATACTGAGATATTAGTAATATTCTATATAATATATATTCTATATTATTATATTGCACTATATTATTATACCACAATACAAATAAAGGTAAAGGTTTTCCCTTGACATTATGTCAAGCCAGGATCAACTCAGGGTGGTGGTGCTCATCTCAATTTCTAAGCTGAAGAGCTAGTGTTGTTCACAGACACCTCCAAGGTCATGTGGCCAGCATGACTGCATGGAGCGCCTTTACCTTCCCACAGAAGCGGTACCTATTAATCTACTCACATTTGCATGTTTTCGAACTGCTAGGTTGGCAGGAGCTGGGGCTAACAGCAGGAGCTCACACTACCCGGATTCAAACCTGCAACCTTTTGGTCAGTAAGTTCAGCAGCTCAGCGGTTTAACCCGCTGTGCCACCAGGGGCCCTTTCTATACTACTATACTGTGATATTATTAGTAATATATGATATATAATATATATTGTTATACTAGCTGTCCCCTGCCATGCGTTACTGTGGCCCAGTCTGTGTATATGTGTGTGTATATATTTGTGTACATGTGTTTGCGTGTATATATACGTGGTTTTGCACATGCATTGTAATGTTTTTGGGTTTTTTTGGCTTTTTAAGTCTCTTCCACTGTGTTTTTCAGTATTTTTATGAATTATGGGCACTTGTTGGCCTGATAGGTGTATTGTGTCCAAATTTGGTGCCAATTCGTCCAGTGGTTTCTGAGTTATCACACAAACGAACATTTCATTTTTATTTATATAGATTCTACTATATTATTATACGATAATACATATAATATACCACCAGTAAATTATACTATATGTATTATACAATATATTGTATTATATCATAAGTTGCGGTATATACAATATAGATTACAACTTATTGTCCAAAGAGTACTGCGATTCACTGTGTCGAATGCATTTGTAAGGTCAATAAATGCCACAGGATTCAATAGTACATAGGGGACACGCTTTGAAAGCTACAACACTTCCGATCCCCAATTGAACTTGCTGAGCAGACACTTATCAGGCATCCAAGGGAGTGGTGACGTCATTGACCTCCCCCAATGTGGGTGTGGGTATTCAAACAAGAACCGGAAGTCAAGGTTGCGCTCCATTTTTGCGCCGTCTTAAACTCTATAACCTCCTCTTCTCCCCGCCCCTGACGCGACGCATAGCCTTTTGCAGCGCCAGCAGCCGTAAAGCAAAGCCACTCTTGAGGGTGTTGCAGGTAAGCCCCTTCTTCATGGCGGGCCTTCTCCCAGGCAGAGGAAGGAAGGCGCCTGTTCTCCCTCTCTCTTTCCTTCCTCCTGCTCGCCCTTAAACCCCTCTGCCTGCTTTTATGGCTCATAATGATCCCTCTTCAATGCTGTCGGGTAGATAGAGGTTCCTTAACATGGGAGGGCCAGTGTTTGGGGTGCCTGAAAGCTCTTCTTATTATTCTCCTTTCATATCTATCTGTCAATCATGGTGGTTTCTTCCAACTTCGTGGTTCTGTAATGACATACATCTATATGTCATATCTCTATATGTGTATCTATTCCTATATATATGTAAACTGGCCCTAGAGCAACACATATCCTTAGTAAGCTTCCAGAAGAGAAAAAATAAAACCATTTCATGGCCCTTCCAGAGAGACCCTATATCCCAGGATCTGATTCCAGGTTTTCTGTTTATCCCAGATTATCTGGCAGTGTGGACTCATATAATTCAGTCTGAAGCAGAAAAGTTGAGATCAGATCCAGGGATCTAGGGCCTGTCGTAGCCTAGGCGTGAATTCCCAAAAATAGTGCTTCCCAGCCTTTGGTCTTCCAGGTGTTTTGGGCTTCAGCTCCCACAATTCCTAAAATTGAATTATATATAAATAATCTGGAAATAGGAGCCCCTGGTGGCGCAGTGGGTTAAAGCACTGAGCTGCTGAGCTTGTTGATCGAAAGGTCGCAGGTTCGATTCCAGGGAGCGGCGTGAGCTTCCGCTGTCAGCCCTAGCTTCTGCCAACCTAGCAGTTCGAAAACATGCAAATGTGAGTAGATCAATAGGTACCGCTCTGGCGGGAAGGTAACGGTGCTCCATGCAGTCATGCCGGCCACATGACCTTGGAGGTGTCTATGGACAACGCTGGCTCTTCGGCTTAGAAATGGGGATGAGCACCACACCCCAGAGTCAGACATGACTGGACTTAATGTCAGGGGACTACCTTTACCTTTACCTTTAATCTGGAAATATCTATGTATTTTCTATATTTGAATTATATAAAAATAATCTGGAAACATATCTATATAAATAAAAATGTAAGGTTCGTTTGTGAGATTAACATAACTCAAAAACCACAGGGTGAATTGACACCAAATTTGGACACAATACACCTATCTGGCCAGCGAGTGACCATCACTCATAAAACATTGAAAATCACAGCAGAAAAGACTTATATACGCAAACACAAATATATACACACACTTATACACACAAAACATATATACACAGACTTTTTTTTGTTGTGTCAGGTGCGACCTGAGAAACTGCAAGTCGCTTCTGGTGTGAGAGAATTGGCCGTCTGCAAGGACGTTGCCCAGGGGACGCCTGGATGATTTGATGTTTTATCATCCTTGTGGGAGACTTCTCTCATGTCCCCGCATGAGGAGCTGGAGCTGATAGAGGGAGCTCATCCGCCTCTCCCCGGATTCAAATCTGTGACCTGTAGGTCTTCAGTCCTGCCGGCACAGAGGTTTAACCCACTGCGCCACCGGGGGCTCCTATACACAGACTGGGCCACAGCAACGCGTGGTAGGTAACGGCTTGTGTGTGTGTGTATGTATGTATGTGTGTATGTATGTATATGTGTATATACACATACACACACACACACACACACATATATTAATTATATATAAATAATCTGGAAATGTATATGTATATGCTATATAATATATATTATAAATCATTGCTTTAAAAACAAACACATTGCATGTTTTTTAACAGGACTGTAAGATGGAACATTGTTGCTCTATCTAGTTCCTGCCCATTTAAGTAGGCAGGTCTTCCTTATTAATCTAAATGCCATCAGGTTTGTTCAATGTCGTACCATTTTCAGCTATTTCTAAGTATTTCCACACTTGTTGCTACAGTTGAGGAGTACCTGCTTCTTCCCATAGTCATTGTTTCTCCCATTGTGTGGTTTAAACCATGGTCTTTCCAGCATGATGCATATTCCTCAAAATAATCATACTTTGTTGGGAGAATATTTATATTCCATACTATTTTGAAAAGCAAATCATGTAGGGCTTTCCCATATGTGTTGAGATAAAATTTGCAAAAAAGTGTTCCTGCTTTGAAAGTTGTTATGTCCTGTTTAATTGTTTGGTACTTACTTTTGAAAGTGGAGGCCCCGGTGGCACAGTGCTGGCAAGACTGAAGCCCAACAGGTCGGAGGTTCGAATCCAGGGAGAGCGCTGATAAGCTCCCTCTGTCAGCGCTGGCTCCCCATGTGGGGACATGAGAGAAGCCTCTTATAAGGATGGTAAAACATCAAAATATCTGGGTGTTCCCTGGGCAATGTCCTTGCAGACAGCCAGTTCTCTCACAACGGAAGTGACTTGCAGTTTCTCAAGTCTCTCCTGATACACACAAACACACAAAACTTTGAAAGTAGTTGTTATACTCCAGAAAGTTTTTTTTGTGGCTGCCACAAACCATGTTGAAGTGGTTGAGACTCTGTGAGATATTAGCTGAAAAACTATAGCACAATATGCCACAGAATGCCCTGCAAAAACAATGTTTTTTCAGTTTAATAAACTTTTACCATGTTAGGAACCAATTAGGAAATGACATTTATAACCCAGGAACAAAACTGTGTTACATAGTGTAATCCTGGAAGTTGTGCAGGACTGGCCCTGGTTAATATGGAGAAAGGCAGGTAGAAATATCTTAAATAAATAAATAAATAATACTTTGATGGGAGATTGCCAATAAATGGCAGGTGCAGAGGAAGGAACTGACTGGAAAGGAGTGTTTTGCTTTTTAAAATAGATTTTAAAAAAATGATAATGTAACAGCATGTGTTAATTTTTTAAAAAAATGTGTTTATGTTTTAAGCTTCTTTGAGTTTTGGACAAGGGATGAGGGACAAGTTACACGAAATCAAGTCTTTGGTTTTCTTTACAATTTTTGTGCCAAATAGATTTTTTGGATGCTGATCACATAAATAACTTCAAAATTGTCACGTCATGTAAGGTTTTTGAGAAACCGTCCATTTCATTTTCCAGTTATTTCAAAATTTTGAAATATTTTCATGCTGGAGAATATCTTGCAAGATTTTTTAGATTGTTCATGTCTTTGACAGACATAACCAACATCATGCAACATGTAACAGAGACATAGCCTGTTAAAATACCACAAGAATAGATATCTGATTGTGTAGAAACGTTATTGGGCATGCCCAAGCAAGCCAAACATGAATGCAAGATTTTAGCTTGTTTCCATCACAACACAGCTTAATACAACTATCAGCAGCAAAGAGTAACAGTCTGTGTAACATCTGTGTGAATTAGCATTTCGCATTTCTAAAACTGTTGAGTCTAAATATAGTGGGTATATATTTTTCTGAAATGTCGTGCCAATGTTGCAATAGTCGTGACACATTTTGTTACATATTGTGGCGGGTTTACTCAGAAACCACAGAAAAGGAGAATTAATGCACTCATTAAAAAGGCATATGAGTTCTACTTTGGGTACAAAAATTGTGACCAGGACAAAGAATGGGCTCCTCATTTATGTTGCACATCTTGTGCCAGTAGTCTGCGAGCTTGGCTGAAAAATGCATGACCATCTATGCCTTTTGCCATTTCAACGATAAGGAGGGAGCAGAAAGATCATGTGACTGATTGTTATTTTTGTATGACAAACATGTCAGGTTATTCATCAAAAAATAAGAAGCTTATTGAGTAGCCTGACCTTGCATCAGCAATGAGACCAGTGCCGTATGATGACAGTCTTCTTGTTCCAAAACATCCAGAGGCATGGGCACTAGAGGATGAGGAGGTAGGCAGTGATAGCGATCAGATGCAGATGGAAGCAGATGCTGATCCTGACTTTGTGCTATCAACATCCAGTGGTCCTCATTTAATATCTCAGGCAAAGCTGAATGATCTGGTCAGAGATTTGAGTTTATCAAAAAGTCAGGCAGAGCTGCTTGCATCAAGGTTGTAAGGATGGAATGTTTTGTCATCCGGTACATAAATCTCAACATTTCGCCACTGTTAAGAAGATTTGACAAAATATTTTACCCAAGCTAACAGTCTGACCTTTTGCTGTGACATCAACTGATTGTTTTTTTCTCTCAGATGCAACCACAACCCAACAGGGTGATTATTTATTGACTAATCAGTCTTAAGTTTGAAGGCTGTTTTTCTGCACAACAGCAATCTACTCTTCGATACCTTGGACATGCAATTCATATGACAGAATCATATGAGAACATACAACTTCTGCTGCACTGCCTTCAATACCCAAAGCATAACAGGAATTTGTGTGGTGATTTGCAGCAGATGCTTCCATGCATAATTTGTGTGGTGATTTTAAGGTAGCAGCTTGGTTACACAAAGTATTGCTGTTTCCTTTTCAAGTGGGATAGTTGAACAAGAGATTTGCATGGCCTCTGCAATAAATTGGGTCCATGGCAGAAGAATGTTGCACATGACCAAAGAAGATATTTCTTCCACCTTTACACATCAAACTTGGACTAATGAAAAACTTCATGAAGGCAATGAACAAGCAAAGTGAAGCTTTTGTTTATTTGCAGCAGATGCTTCCATGCATAAGTGATGCTAAGCTAAAAGAAGGTGTTTTTGTTGGCCCACAAATCCGAGATATGATGAAGAATAGCCACTAATTGTCTACAGTGTGCAGAACATGTTGTGTGGACAGCCTTCAAGAATGTTGTTTGTAATTTTCTAGGCAACTACAAAGCACCAAATTAGCCCAATACGTTGAAAGTCTGCTTCAAGCATACAAATAAATGAAGTGCAACATTTCACTGAAGATACATTTTCTTCATTCCCACTTGGATTTCTTTCCAGACAACCTGAGTAACGAACATGATGAAAGGTTTCATCAAGACATTGTCAGGATGGAGAAATGATATCAGGGCAAGCGTAATCTGTATATTGGGTGTCTCGTTGGACTCATGCACAAAGTGTCAGACAGTGATTACAAATGAAAATCTGCAGCAAAACAGTTTTAGTTTTGTTTCCTGATGACAACATTACTGTAATAGTGTATGCCGCTATACCCATATAGCAATGCTTAGGATGTATCACCTTTTTCAGGAAAACTATATGTAATACAGAAATGTTAAATATACACAGCTGTGTTCAGCATGTTAAACTATACTTGGTTCACCTAAAACTGTGGAGGAAACAAAAAATTCCCAAAAAACTGTTTATTAGTGTTATCGGTGAAATTGTCTCATATTGGAAGCTAAGCAGGTTCAGCTCTGGTTAGTACTTGGATGGGAAACTCTGTAGGCTATATTTCCAAGGAAAGAACTGGCAAACCATTCTGAGTCACTTCTCTAAGAAAACCCTGCACAATGAGTGGGGTTGCCATAAGTTGGCATGCGACTTAATGGTACACACACATACATATATACAAGTGAGCACATACTGGGCTTTACCAGATGTGTCATCATCAATTTGACAAGCAATTGCAAGTTATACTGTACAGCCCAATGTCACCCTTGGACTTCCTGTTACTTTCTAAGCTCACATTCAATGTCTTTGTTTTGCCTTATAGACTGATTCTGCACACATGCATTTTAGTGAGCGCTTTCCATAGTGTGTGCCATGGCACATTAGTATATCAGCTGCAGTGTGTAGGTGTGTCATTCAGATATAATGAGAAATAACAATTTTTTTGGAATATATTCTATTATCTTACAAATCATGTATTTTTAAAAAATATGTAAATGAAGGATTACCATGAGGTATGATTTATCCCCATACATTTTGTTATTAAAATTTATGTATGTGTCAGTTTCTCTTACCATGGGTTGGTTTGACTTCTGGATTGCTAGTAAAACTGTTACTGAATCTTCATGAATCTCTCATGTCCTTCTTTCAGAAGCAGGGAAGGCTAAAACCCCAAGCGGATTATGCTTTCTGCTTGACAGGGATTAAGACAAGTAGTTTTAGGGATTTCCTTATTAAAAGGACTCAAAAGTGATTGATTTCAAGTGGATTGCATTCCTAAAACTATATAGTCAAGTATTGTTGTTGCTTTTACAATTATTGGGATTAGATGGTATGGTTGTTATCCTGTTGGTAAACCCCAAAAGGAGTAGAACCAATCAATCAACTGTTCAATGGAGAGTCAACACACAGATATATGAAATTGATTTAATAAGTCTATTCTACTCAGGACCAACAAGACAATTTAGACTACATTTAACATTTAAGTAGATTAGGAACTTGTATTCTTTATATAGGTAACTTAAAAAAATTGTGTGTGTGTGTCAGGAGCAGCTTGAAAAACTGCAAGTCACTTCTGGTGTGAGAGAATTGGCTGTCAGCAAGGACGTTGCCCAGGGGATACCCGAATGTTTGATGTTTTACCATCCTTATGGGAGGTTTCTCTCATGTCCCCACATGGGGAGCTGGAGCTGACAGAAGGAGCTCAACCAGCTCTCCCTGGATTCGAACCACTGACCTTTTGTTCAACAGTCCTGCCAGCACAAGGGTTTAACCCATTGTACCACTGAGGGCAGTGAACATACCAATGATGATGATGTATTGTTGTATTTGTTCTATTTGTTACTCACCTCTCCTCTCTGCTTGCAGTGAGATACAACATAGTTAAAATACATAAATAAAACAAAGGACCATGAAACTCGCATGTTAAAAAAACATAATACAAATATTATGAAACCAATGCTAATAAAATGCAAAGTTAAAATTCACAGTTTAAAATTGACTGTAGGCCTGCCGGAAAAGATAGGTCTTCAGTTGTGTCTTGAATTCCGACAGGAGTTTTGTAATCAGTAAACTATATGAAAATAGTAAAACAAAATTTTAAAATGTGTGAAACTTCTACAAGAACTTAGTTGTGTGGGTTTTGTTTTTATTTTACATTTTTCCTAGCTTTGTGTTGTGCAATAAAGACATATACTCCATTATCTGAAAAGATGAGAAGAACCAAGCGGCAGCTTTTCGATGACAGTCAGGAGAGCCCTGAAGACTAATGCAGAGAATTAACAAAAACGTAGTTTTGGGTCTTCTGACTTTCACCAGTTCAGTTTTTCTCTTGTTCCAGTTGTACTATTACAAGTATTATTTGTCCCCCAAGGTAAGAACTGTTGCAACTCTACATTTTGAGAAACCCTAAGTTCTGTATAATTAATCTAAACAAATATTTGTTGTGATCTAAAGTGTATGTTTAAACGTATTAACTCATCTGGTAATGCCAGCAGTCATTGTGAGTAATGGAGCATCCCAAAGCATATTTGTTTGGGTAGTAAATCCCACTGAAACCAATAGGTTTTATGTCAGGTAAACACTGTTATTTTAAGCATTTCAATTTCCATTGCCATGGCTGTGAGCAGAATATCTACTATGCGTCTTGTTCTGAGGTTTATTGATTTTAAAACCTTAGATTTTTTTTTGTAATTTTAGAGAAAGTATTACTCTTTTCCCACATGAAGGAAGGTGTATCCTGATGTTGCTCATGCTGCAATGTATGTATGCATCTAAAAACAAAAGGATTGGACTTAGAGCTGGTAATGGTTAGGGTGCATCTACACTATGCAGTTTTACACCACTTTAAATGCCATGGCTCAATGCTATGGAATTATGGGAGTTGTAGTCTTGCAAGATCTTTCGTCTTCTTGGCCAAAGAGTGCTAGTGCCTCACACAACTGCCATTGAACCATGACAGCTGAAGTTGTGTCAAACTGCATTAATTCTACAGTGTAGATGCACCTTAAGTTAATAATGGCCAGCTTGTCCTTTCATTCTGACTGATGTATGCTCTTAAAGGTTTTTCCTTATATACAAACATATGTAGATGCAATCAGACGAGATACACACACACACATATATACATACACACATATACATACTATTTCTTACCTGCCTCTCATGTCTTAAGACAGGTTACAACATATTAAAAATGCTAAAATGCATCCTCATTTTAAACATCCTATGAAATCCACACATTAAAATATATTTCTATAATATATATATTAAAATACACAGAACAAAGATTAAAACACAAGACGTGAGTTTAAAATTTATGATTAAAACTGACTGATTATAGTTTTACCTACAGAGACTACTAGTTAATGTTGCAAATTTGGAGCCTTTGGGCCATTTTCTGGGACTGCATTTATAGCATTTCCATATATTATTAAATTACTTCTTTAAAGATACACAACTTTGCCCATCAGGATTTGTCTTCAGTTACATTTGCTGTTTCAAACAACTTTATGCCTGAGTCTTAGCACTTTTTCATTCGACCTTCTCTGCTTTTTCCTTTGAGTTTCTCAAAAAAACGTCTTCTGGCAAGATATGAGTCATCCCTTAGTCTTTATACTTTCTTTGTCATTAAACCATAGTATGGTTCACCATGGAAACTTGGAAACTATCAGCCTTGGAGAAAGGCAAAGACAAACACCCTCTGAACAAATCTTGCCAAGATAAAAATTTTGTAGGGTTGCAAGAAGTTAGAAACGATTTGAAGGCACAGAACAGCATGTAGTTGAAGTAATCATGTATTCCTGCTCTGCTGAGCCATCCCACCATTTAATTCCCCTTCATCTTTTGTTTCCCTGGATCTGTTTTATACTGTAAACCCTTGAGCAGGCATGTAGCCGGGGGGTTCTCATGGTGGTCTGCGAAAAGGCCTTACTGGTACATTATTTAAACTGTTATGTTTATTCATATCATGATCTGATCACCATGCTCAATATATCTCATATGCATGGGGGTATTGGGGTAACTATACAAAAGGTTTGCTAGGGTAGACCCTCTTTCACTCAGACTCAGCCCCCCCCCTGAATCAAACTCACCCCCCCCCCCCCCCCCAAATCAAAATCCTGGCTACAGGCCTGCCCTTGAGCATAATAGATCTGCCATGCCCACTGTTATATAAAGTGGCAGGTACTTCATTTACACCATAGAAGGTAGAAGCTTCAAGAAAAACAGTGTATCCTTAAAGATTTTACCACTGAAATTAAATTAAACAGAACTTGGAAAAGTCATCTATTTGAAGCACATCTTCTAGAATCCTGCAGCTTACATGGCCATCTAAGTCGTTTTAAAAACATTGTTAGAAAAAGCAATATAGTACAAATCATGCCATGTAAGTTAATCAGACCACAACTAACATTTATTTAGAAAACCATAACAATTGTAATATGTTAATACCAAAATTAATAAGCAGCTTTCTAATCAGCTAAAGATGTCTTCTCAGGTACAGACTGGGTACTATTTTTTGAACTTCTAGCATCAACAAAAGAAAGCCAAGTTTTTAAAAACGAGTTTGTTTATTTATCTACCGTATTTATATCCCACACTTCTCACCCTGAAGGGGACTCAGGGTGGTTTATATGCCTTGAATACATATAAAAAAACAACATATAATTTAAAATCACAAAGTTAGAAACATATCAACTGAACAATTACTTGAAATCACACCATCCAAAAACATATACCATAGCCATTCCAATTGTCATTTGCATTGTTCATTATTGCACTGGAACTTCGATTGTTGCACTAGGAGTCACTGTGCAAATACTTGGTCCCACAACTAGGATGTAACTTCTTCCTGAAGTTCAAGAGGGAGGGGGCTGATCTAATTTCCCTGGAGAGGGAGCTCCACAGGCGAGGGGCCACCACTGAGAAGTCCCAGTCTGTGGTCCCCACCAGTCACACTTACGAGGGGGGTGGGATCGAGAGCAGGGCCTCCCCGGACAATCTTAATCTTTGAGATGGTTCATAGAGGGAGGTATGTTAGAACAGGTAAGCAGGTGAGTTCACCAGTAGTAGTTTTCAATGCTCAGATTTGATAAGTGAGCTTTTGTGAGAGAGCTACATGTCAAACTTGGGCACTCTTTCGTTGAATATGATGGTTAACCGCCCCTGGGATTTCAAACCATCACTGGCTAGGCTGCTAAACAAAGAAAGATGGGAATGGGAAATGTTAATGGGAAATACTGTTGTAGCTTCACTTGTCATTTCTCTTTATGATGTTGCTGAGATTTGACCTGCAGAGCTGCTTCTGGATTCTTTGTTTTTTGTTTTTAAAGAATGGAGCTGTTTTCCCCAAGATTAAAGGGAGCAAAACAGGACAAGACAGTAGCCGATGGGTAAGCTATTCTGTTCATCTTTTTATTTTGAATTCATACTGGTTGCAAATGCATCAGACAAACCTATACTTGATGGATTTTGTTTCTTCTGAATAAAGCCATTGTAGCAGATCAGATTCCATGTTTACTGTATAAGCAGATCTGTTTCCTTGTGATTTTTTTTTTTTTTTTGCAAAGCAATTTACAGATAAAGTCACTGTTCTATTATTATGGATTCTACCTTGGAACAGTTCTCTTTTAGATTAAAATTTTCCAAACCCCTCATCAAGGAGCCATGTTTGGTAGCAGACCCTGGCAGTTTTAGTCTTTGCTTTTGAAAGCACTTGGGCAGTGTTTCTCAACCTGGGGGTCAGGACCTCGGGGGGGGGGGGTCACAAGGGAGTGTCAGAGGGGTCACCAAAGACCATCAGAAAATGTAGTATTTTCTGTTGGTCATGGGAGTTCTGTGTGCCAAGTTTAGTTCAATTCCATCAATGGTGGAGTTCAGTATTATCTTTGATTGTAGGCGAACTATAAATCCCAGCAACTACAACTTCCAAATGACAAAATCAATCCCCCCAACCCTACCAGTATTCAAATTTGAGTGTACCGTGTATTTGTGGCAAATTTGGTCTAGTGAATGAAAATATATCCTGCATAACGAATATTTACATTACGATTCATAATAGTAGCAACAAAAATAATGTTATGGTTGGGGGTCGTCACAACACGAGGAACTGTATTAAGGGGTCACGGCATTAGGAAGGTTGAGAAACACTGCACTAGGGACACTGGATGCTCCAAGATAATAGATCTGGATTGTACAGATACATTTTATGGATAAACAATAAACAATTATCACTTCATACAATTAAAATAGCATAATAGTATAAACATTAATAAATAACAGTTTAAATCAGTTTGCCCTCAAGATAAAGGTGTGATTGGTTAATAGCATATTGACCTAGGGAAGAAATTGTGAACATCATTCTTGTTGGGATTTCACTGTACTTTAAATATTATTTTAATGCTTTTGGGATACCCTTAAATGCAATGAGATTCTTGCTAGATTTATTTAGCAGCACCTGTAGCATGTGCCTTTAATTATTTTTGGCATAAACTGCATTCAGTTCATGGGTGGGGAAGGAGTTTGGGCACAAGGTATCCACACATGAATTAATCCAGGCTCAATTATCATTTTATTACATGTGGATGAGACATTGAAGTGTCTGGAACTTGTAGCTTGTACAGAATATATCAGTGAGATGGTTAACCAAGCCTCATCATGGAATACATGGCTGCTTAAAAGTAGTTGCCTTAGTACTAGATTGTTTGGGGTCTTCATTCAATAGTGTTTCCAAGTTCTTAACGCCATCAGCAGCTTGAAGCCCAGATATCTAAAGGGGACCATCTTCATCTTTCTGAACTCTGCTACTTCAAGCAAACCTTTTCCAAAAGTTTTGCTGTTGGAGTAAAGGATCTTCTAAGTCAGTGGTTCTCCACCTGTGGGTCCCCAGATGTTTTGTCCTACAACTCCCAGAAATCCCAGCTAGTTTACCAGCTGTGAGGATTTCTGGGAGTTGAAGGCCAAAACATCTGGGGACCCAAAGGTTGAGAACCACTTCTCTAAGTGGTGGAACTCAAATTATGGAAGAGATATATGCCTAGCATGTTTTCTTCTGTCCTGTGGGGACCACTAAAAGCTCATCGAGATAGGGCCAGAAAACCCTCTTGCCCCAAACTCACACAATCCCCACCAGCTAACACACATGGTGTTGAGGCAGATATAAGAACCATCTGGTGTGCTATAAGGCAACTTCTTCTGATAGGAAATGTCCAGCTTTTGAAAATAGCCTTTCTGAAAGTGTTCCTTCTTGATATTTATTTCCCTCTCCTTGCTTCTTTTGAATAGCACGTGGTTAGGAAATTCCTTAGTTTGGTGTCCAGCCACAACATAGCGGTGCATCTGATTGATCCCTTGCTTTTGGGCCTGATTGACGTAGACTTGGAACAGCTCAGGATTTCCTCTGATGGCAGCCAGTCTGATTGCAAATACTTCTGTGCTCCCCGGGACTGTACCACTTTTGCACTGTTGGACAAAGCTTGGAAGCACGAGGTGAGATTGTCTCCTGCAGCTTTGCCTAACCATAGTAAACTTCACAGCAGTTTTAAAGACTGAAGCATCCTGATGAAACAATGAGGGATTTCTAATCTTGAGTTAATTTTACAGCAGCCTTTGAGGCAAAGGAAAACCGTGCTGTGATCTTGTTGTTGTTGTTGTTTTTGTTGTGTGATGCTATGTAAAAAAGCAAAAAAGTAAAGGATGATTGGTATCTACTGAAGTTTGCATGGCAAATAAGTTGGAGAAAAAAAATATTTGATCACCTCCACAATGTCTGTGTAGAAATCTTTCAATAAAAAATACATTAAGAGGAGAAATCACACTGAACTACATTAAAACTAAGCAAAGATCAAGTGGGGTACAGATGACCAAAACTGATTTGCTAAACAAATTGTATATACTGGAATTACTTTGTGGTTTTAACACCCCCTCCCCTAAATCAGTCTGTACTAATAAAAAAGAGAGTGGGTATGTGTTTGTTTGTTTGCTTCTTCCTTCCCTTAAAATTGAGAAACGTAGGCAGTTTGAAACTCAATGCACACACTAAAGAGCCCTTAATATTTTGCCCCTCAAGTTTATTTCATTTTTTAAATGCATTCATAATCTATATTAATTTAAGTCTTGCCAGTAGACTGCAGTACCTCTTTAAGTCAATAGATGGGAGACGTCTCTAACTAGAACTCTGTCTAAAACCAAGCTAAGAGTAAGAAAAAGAAACCTTGAGATTCCTGATTTTGGTGGGTGGAGAATGAAGGCTGAACCAGCACAGGGAAGTGAAAGAAGAGATAATTAGAATCTGGAGAAGGATGTAAAACCAAACTCATTGAACTGTGTGAATTTCTGGGGAAATGCATAGCTTTGTTTGCATCGAACAAAATCAATCCTATTGATGTGGAAAGGGTTTCTTTGAAGAGAAAACATCTATCTTAAAATGTGTGGTATTGATGAAATATTATCTGTATGCTCACTCCTCCACAAATAGTTTTATGACTTGGAGATTTTTGGGACTTTTGTGCACCCCTTTAACACTGACTGAAAGGTTGCTCGTTTGAATCTGGGGAGTGGAGTGAGCTCCAGCTTCCCATGCAGGGACATGAGAGAACTCTCCCACATAGATGGTAAAACATCTGGATATCTCCTGAGCAACGTCCTTGCAGATGGCCAGTTCTCTCACACCAGAAGCAACTTGCATTTTCTCAAGTTGCTCCTGACATGGAAAAAAAAATCCAAGCAGATAATTCACACTACCATATAATTCAGTTCCAAGCAGATAATCTGGATTTTATTTGGCAGTGTATAAGGTGCCTTAGTAGATTGTGTATTGCATTGTGCAGTCAAGATGACCTTTCAGGGCAGCGATTGAATTCAGTGTCAGAGAAATTCTCAGGGGCTGCATACCAGTGATGGAGGGGCGAAAGGCAAAACAGTGAGATCAAAAATACCAGCACAGTTTAGCCTTAGATTCGTCACTGCCAGTAAATAAGCTTTAGGAGATGTCTTTCAATGTTTTACAGGACCTTATACAGAGTTTGGGAAATTATGGTGTCATTGGGAAGGGGTTACAGATGTGCCCAACTGAAACCTTGGATTGGGGCCTGAGAAAGGGTGAATTCAGTCCCAAAGCCTTGGGCTTTCCACTCCTGTTGTAGGACAATGGTGGATGGCTTCATAATGGTTCTGTTCTGTTGGGCTTCGCTTTAACCCACCAGTGAGGCTGATTTCTCAAGCAGTACACTAGTTACATGAGCAGATTCAGCATACATGTCATCTGTCAATTTTAGGTGGGCTTGTTTCGAGCTGCTGAGCGAGTGGGCTTCCAGTGGCTCAAGATTCAGAGCAAAGACCCGCGTCTGGAAGGGATGGATGACCTCTCTGGGACTGAGATCCCTTTGCACTATGTCTTCAGATTGGCAACTCATTCCATCCACTTGGTTGTATTTTATGAGAGAAGTGGCAACTACCTCTGGCATGGACCACTGCGGTTGAAACTACATACAGACCGCAAGTTTGTGCCTTTCCGGAAGCTACCATTTGGCCGCTATCCTGGCGCCTATGACAGGTAAGAGAGGGTAGAGATTTGCATTGTGTTTAATCACCACACTCGTCAGATAAAAACTGCCATTCCTGAAATAGTAATACAATAAAATGTGGAGCATTACAAATGAGATATCCCCTAGATCAGTAAAACAGAGTTTTATGTTTGGGTTGCTGTGAATTTTCAAGGCCATGACCCAAAAGCATTCTCTCCTGATGTTTTGCCCACATCTATGGCAGGCGTCCTCAGAGGTTGTGAAGTCTGATGGAAACTAGGCCAGAGGGGTTTATATATCTGTTGAATGTTCAAGGTGAGAGAAAGAACTCTTGTCTGTTTGAGGCAAGTTTGAATGTTGCAATTGGCCAGCTTGATTAGCATTGAATAGCCTGGCTGCTTCCTCCTTGGGGAAATCCTTCATTAGGAGGTGTGAGCTGGCCCTGACACAACTCCACAGATATATAAACCTCACTTGCCCAGTTTCCAACAGACAACCTTTGAGGATGCCTTTCATAGATGTGGGCAAAACGTCAGGAGAGAATGCTTCTGGAACATGGCCATACAGCCCAGAAAACTCACAGCAACCTAGTGATTCCAGCCATCACATCCTTCAATGACACTTATACGTTTGTTAATGCAAGTTATACAACAACTTGATTCCACTCCCATTCTTTCATGAGATAGACATGCAAAAAATTATTCAAAACATTTCCTTCACACTATGTATACAAGGTGTATATGAAGCAGAAATGAATTTAGTTTTTCATCCTGGGTCCCATCTATACTGACCATTTAATGCAATTTGATGCTAGCTTTTAAATGCAGTAGCCAAACAACAAACTGCCACAAAAGTGTGTGAAAGGAAGTCCTTAATGTGCATCAATGCTCTGTGGTCCGGACCTCAAAACTGGTCCATGATTTCCTGTGTATTTATTTGCATAACAATACCACTTTCTTCAAGACCACCTTAAAACTGCATTAAATGGTCAGCGTAGATGCGGCCCAAGATTCCTCATTATGTAAGTATATACAAATACAAATATTCCAAAATTCTCCAAAATCCAAAACTCCTCTGGTCCCAAACATTTCAGATAACAAATTTTCAACCTGTTATAATCTTGGCACAAGTCTAAAAATAGCCTTAATCTATATAATATATATTCAGTGAAAAAGGCCTCAAATGGTCCATGTGTATTTCTGATTGCTGTTTGTTAATGCAGATGGGCTGAAGAGTTTGGGAATATTACGTTGATCTGGGTGAATGGAGTGATTTTGGAGTGTTACAATAAAAAGGGATAAGATGCCATTAGTGTCATGTATCTGAGGTGATGCTATCTGCACCACGTTTGTTTGTTTGTTTGTTTGTTTGTTTTGGTCACTTTAATCATGTGAATTGGAAAAGTTAGGAGCTTTGTCTGACCAAGATAATGTAATTCTTTTCTCTTTTGTGATAGATTAGAACTACTGAGTGTTTCCATTGATGGGTTAACAGTCCAGATTCCAAAAGAACCATCTGTGTTCCTAGAGGAAAGATCTCACTCTCGCTTTATGGAATGTAGGTACAGAGAAGCTCGCTCTTTCTTACAGGTTAGTGGTTATTTAGATAGTGTTGCTTTCAAAGTGTTAATTATTTCTAGCTGTGGTTTACCAGTTCTCTCCTCCTACATAATATGTGGTCTGTATTCAACCATGGTCCCCATTTATCTTTTAATATCTGATGGAATTCAGTTGCGGACTGTTAAATCAGTAACTTAAAGTTCCAGTCCAAAGCTAGTCACGAGGTCCCTTGTTTCAGTTTTGGCATTTGCTTGATAATAATAACAACAATAATTTTTATTTATGTATTTATTTTTTAAATCAGAATATACAATTAACCATTTCCCCCAAAATAAAAAAAAAAACATATCTAAGTCAGGAAAGTACATGATATTTAAGAAAAGACATAAACTGATTTTTGTCATCTTAATACATCTTACACATACCATCATTAAACATGTTAGCATTTTTCATACTCTAATTTAAAATATCAATGAGCATGATAATAACCTGCTACCCATCTAGTTTTGAACTTTCCCTCTTGAAACATGTTATTCTTATAGTTCTATTACAATTTCTATCTCCAAACAATGGAATAATTTTTTTTACCCACCTCCCCTAATGGCTCGATTTATCAGATTGCTCTGAGTTTTCCAGGATATATGGCCATGTTCCAGAAGCATTCTCTCCTGAGTATGGCTGCCATAGATGTGGGTGAACGTCAGGAGAGAATGCTTCTGGAACATGGCCATACAGCTCAGAAAACTCACAGCCACCCAGTGATTCCAGCCATGACAGCCTTAATCTATTGTTAAGATTAGCTGTGTACAGTTTAACACTTGGTGGCGCCAAAGAACAAAAATAGCTATAGCAAACACATATGTATTGGAGAACAAGAAGAAATGTGTTGTATTATGTTGCCATAAGTCTAAAAATGACATGAGGGCACACAGCAATTTGTGAAGTGTAGTAGAATGATAATAAGTAGGACAGTTTGCTTTATTTTTTTAATAAAAAGGGAAAGTTATGAAACAATCTTTTTTCCGTGTTTTTTTTTTTTAAGGTGTACCCTGACGACACATCTCTCGATGCCGTGGAATTCAGGAAAAAAGCCAAGGCACTGCTGCATCTCGCTGCTTTGACATTAAATAGTTTAGGAGTGAGATTCTGGCTCAGCAGTGGAACCTGCTTAGGTGAGGAGACTGCTGCCATTTTTGGAACTGGAAATGTTGTGTTTTTGGCTCCCCTTCTTGGCTGTGTCAAATGTATTAATTCTGTCAATGTAGGAAAAAGTCAAAAATAGCACCAGCTCTCTCGCATTCTTCTCCCATAAACCTATGCTTATCCTTTCCTTCTATAGCACTCATTTCAGAAGACATATTCAAGGGTAGCCAGCTTGGCTATGCAGCAACATAAAACACAATCCACAAAAGAGTGATATCATTACTGGCCAACCAAAATGTACAAAACACATCATGGAGGCTTTTGAAGCTGCATTGGCTTCTTCATCAGGCAAAATGTTTTTCTAAAAAATCATGCAAGAAAAGTCACAAGCCAGTTGTTCTGGAGGGCTGACACAAAGGGAAATAAATAACAAGTGGTACTAGATCCCATCCAATCTTGGAAGTTAAGCAGTGTTAGCCCTGGTTAGCAGTTGGAAAGGAGATCACCAATGAATACCAAGTAGTATAGGCCACTGCTGCTTAAACCATGGGTCTGGCCCCAAATGAGGTCCCTTTGCCTCAATGTTGAGATCATGAAAAAATTGGCAACAGTAAAAGGTTTTTTAGAGCCACCCATTTGCACAAATCTCTTAGCAACGAGGTGCAGTGTTTATAGTGGATTCTGCAGAAAATGTTTCAGCTGTACTCCAGAAAAAGGAAAATCAGCCTGTTTAGCAAGCCTTGTAAATGCTGATTTATTATAAGTAAATGTTTGATTTTTATACCTGTTTATATTCCTATATACCTAGTGTCACATAAACATTTCTTAGACAAAAAGGGGCTAGTGGCCCTACAGAAGCCCTTCTGTAGGCAATATTTCTGTGGAAGGAACTGGCAAAATCACCCCTAGATATTCTAATAAAATGAATGAGTTTGTTATAGGTTGACATGCAACTTGCAGGGATATACACACAGTTCAATTATCAACAACAAATAACTTCAGAAGGCAAATGAGTCATCTGACTCAGGAGCATCTGCCATTGGACTTTTACTTTTTACTTGGATGTTTTTGACTGCATTGGATACAGTATTATGTGTTTATTTCAATGCATTTAAAAAACAGTTTGCTTCCCCGCCTACTTTTTTCCCTTCATTTGTGTTTCCTCTTCATTTGTAAGCAAGGCCTTTGTCAGACTAATTCTCTGACTATTGTTGAACTCAATTTCTTAGTCAGCTTGACCAATGATGAAGCATAGTGTGGGAGTATGTTTGGGGGTTTTCTATTTACAGCTTATGTTTGGGTTCTCTGTACATTGCCTGACTCCTTTAGGGACACACACACAATGCATACTCATGTAACCTCAGTGGTTTGTAGCATGCCAAAACCTTCTTATAAGATCGGTATAGAGATACTTCTGGGTAAAAGTGTTCAGTCGCTGTCTCTTGTCAGAAATATTAAAAATTAACTAGGTATTTTTAATTACAAAAATGTGAGTCAAGCACTGAAAGGGTTAAAACAATGCAATGACTGATCAAAAGCTGTAGTTCAATATAAGCAGTGTGCCTATTGCTTAGTAACGGCTCAGTCTGAGAGAGTTCTCAGTGTGAGAGAAGCCTCTCTGTGTGAGAGAACGCCTCAGTGGGAGAATAGGTCTCAGTGGTATAAACCCCATCCTCTGAATCCATCATAGTCATAGAACAGGCTATTGAGAAACAGCTGGAACTCCCTATGCTTCCTTTGCCTTGTTCAGTAGATTATCTTTAAAAACTCTGGAGAAAAGCAAATTTTGTTGGTTTAACATCCGTTAACTTGCAGTTCATGCGAATTTAGCCTTAATATGTACCCAAAACTTTTGGTTCTGCTGTATTTTCAGGTTGGTACAGACAGTGCAATATTATTCCTTATAGCAAAGATGTGGACTTGGGGATTTTTATTCAAGACTACAAGCCAGAGATTATTTCAGAATTTCAGAAGGCAGGATTACCACTGAAACACAAGTTTGGCAAGGTTGGTGGACAATGTGACTTTACGGTTTTCGTGATCTTTCTTTCAAAGTGTCTGCAGTAACCAGTGCAAGAACAAATTCTGAGAATAGTGTGTTCACTCTGCTTAGAGAACTAGGGAGGATAGGAGATTGGTTGGGAGCAGGAAGACCTGGTTTCAAATGTGTCTTCAGCTGTGAGTTTTGCTTGGGAGGGTTTTGGTTTTTCTTCTCAGCCAACTTATTCACGGAATTGTTGTGAGGATAAGTTGGAAAAGGATAAGGAAACTATGTATGCTACCTTGAGCTTCTTGCAGACAAGGTAAATAGAAGTAATACTCTTTGCATCCAAGTTCTTAGCTCTCTCTGTGTGTATCTGCATGAATGAGAGAGGCAGATTTTTTCTCAGCTCGATTTTTGTGATGTGCATTTGGTTTAGGGATTTGGACCAGTGTCATGCCTAGATTTTATGTCCTTAACGTTTTCATTACAAGGACTGTGTGATATATGTTACTGTAAACATGTTTAAACTGACCACTCTCATTTTGAAGGAAAAGGGACAAACTCCCAAGCTGGAATTCCGCCTTGATTCATGTCAGATCCTGCCAAAATCCTTCTCCCAATGTACTGTCTTTTGCAAAATCAAGAAGGTGTGTGTATTTTTCAAAACTTGCACAGAATCAGAATTGTATACAGGAACATGTCCTAAATTCTGCTCCAGTGATTTTATTAGTATTCTTTTAAGTGTTTTAAAATATAGGCAATATATCATAAAATTGTGCGTAAAACAGGCATAGGTAAACTTTGGCCCTCCAGGTGTTTTGGACTTCAACTCCCAGAAATTCCAGCCAGCTTACTGGGTGTTAGGAATTGTGAGAGTTGAAGTCCAAAACACCTGAGGGCTGAAGTTTGCCCATGCCTTCTGTAAAAGATGCATATGCCAAGTGGTCAGTCTTGCATGTTCATAATATTTATTTCTTTGGTCCCTTCCCCTTTCTCTTTAAAATATGTTTCTGCTTTCCCTTTCAGGTAGAAGACAGTTTGGAGTTCTCATTTCAGGCAGGAAGTGATGATGTGAAACTGGATATTTTTTTCTTCTATGAAGAGGATGATTATATGTGGAATGGAGGGACTCAGGCCAAATCAGGCAAGAAATTCAAGTAAGAATTGGCTGAGTCTTCTCAAGCTTGGTTTCTGGGCGGAATGGGGGTTCTCAGTGAGAAGACAAATAATAAGCTGCTCTGAAAGATAGCTCAGCCTTACCAGACTTACTTTTCAGTGGAGAGTTTTAGGTGACTGCTTTGTCTATCCTTGGCCAGTTCTTCTACAGCTTTGGTTTTTCCTTCCTATATTTTAGGTTCAGAAGTCTCAGCCAGTGGTCAGGGATTTTGGGAAATGAAACTCAAAATTGTTAAAAGCTTGAAAACCATACTTCCAGTCACCATCTCTGGCCTTACAAGGTCACAGGCCGTATGACAAGTACCACTGTCTTATCTGAACTGTTAATACTTAGTTCAGACCAGGCATGGCCAAACTTTGGCCCTCCAGGTGCTTTTTACTTCAACTCCCACAATTCCTAACAGCTTTTTTTCGTGTCAGTGGTGACTTGAGAAACTACAAGTCACTTCTGCTATGAGAGAATTGGCTGTCTGCAAGGACGTTTCTCTCCATTTTGCAGCGCTCTTGGGCTTTATACAAATATAAATCATGAGGAGGCATTTAGAATCATAGGGATGGAATAGATCATAAGGGTCATTTGGTAGAAACCTCTGCCATGCATAATTTGTCTGCATCATTTACATCAGTTGCAGAAATCAGCTTTGCAGATGACAAAATCTGATCTTACTGGGTGCAATCTTTCTCTTCATGCACTGCCTGTGGAGATTTGCCAGATGGCATTTTTCTGCTGCAGGCCAGGTGTTTTGGACTTTAACTCCCACAATTTCTAACCAGTCAGTAAGCTGCCTGGGATTTCTAGGAGTTGAAGTCCAAAATACCTGGAGGGCTGAAGTTCGCCCATGCCTGCAGTAATGGGTGAACATCTTGCTTGCCTCATATTGATCCTTTTTTTACTTTCTGTGACACAGGTACTTATTTCCCAAATTCACACTTTGTTGGACTGAGTTCCTAGAACTCAAGGTACGTGTGCCCTGCGAAACCCTCCCTTACATTGAAGCGAACTATGGGAAAGATTGGAAGGTGCCTGTGCAGGAATGGGACTGGAAAACCTCACCGCCCAACGTCCAGCCCAATGGGATGTGGCCCATCGATGAATGGGATGAAGTCATTCAGCTCTACTGATCTTTTTGTGACACTTTGGGATGTTGCCAGTTTAATTACACCTCACCCAGAAGTCCTCTTCAATCCTGGTATTCTGAAAATGAAGGTAGAACAAGCAAGAGTGTTGGTATATTGTTATTTATAAAGCTGAGGAAGGCATTATGGAACAGAATTATAAATGTGAGCAAAAGTACATCACGAAGCAATATTGAAATGGTATTGTGCTACACTGACTTCAGAAATAAGTTGTCCCATATATTTTAAGCTACACTATAGGGTAGCAAGTCATGGCCCACAAGCATGTGTAATATTCCTTCAGGCCTGCCCAAATTTCACACATGTTGCGGTCAGCCTAGGGACAGGGATAGATCACTGGGTGCAACATCCCATTGCATAAGCCTACAGAAGCCTCCACAGTTCCTTCTTCTCTTTCTGTAGATTATTTTTTTTAAAAGGATTGAAAGTTTAGCATCTAATTTTGCCAAGCTGAGATATGAATGTATTTGGGATACAGTCTAATGTTCTGGTCACTTGATTTTGAAGCTGGATTTGGACCACAGAATTGATCAAGAACAAGCTGTGTCCCTTGGCTAGAAATATGTAGATTTTCTGCAACAACAACAACAACTCTTTATTTATATCCTGCTTTTCTCCCTCATGGGACCCAAAGCGACTTACAACATATTAAGATAATGTAAACAACAATCCAAATACATTGATGATAAGTATAAGACATCATGAAATAAACAGTTTAAAACAACAACAATATACATTCACATTCTTGTAGCATCATGTCAGATTATATTGCACTTTGTTCCAGTCCATAAACATTATGGTGTTTCTTATTCCGTCATAGATGAGGACATGATAGTGGATTATGAAATGACTCATGAGTGGAAGGAATTAGTAAATATGTTTTCCCCCCTTTTTCACTAATAACAGAATATTAATAAATGAACAATTCAAGACAGGGAAAGAAACGTTTCTTTCTGCAAAATATAATTCAGAGTTGGGGAAGGCTCATCTTCCAGGCTATAGCCCCCAAAGCTCAGGGATCCCATTAAAGAAAGAAAGAAAGAAAGAAAGAAAGAAAGAAAGAAAGAAAGAAAGAAAGAAAGAAAGTTCTTTCAGGTCCAGATTTCCCCCAAAATCACTCTTGTAGCTGCAACCAAGGTCATTGGCATGAGAACGTTTCTTCTTCTTTATCCCTCAAGATATTCCTCAAAGGAGGGAAAAAAACCCAGCTGTTTTCAGCCAAAAGACCCGCTTCTGGCTGCTTTGAATGTACCATTGCAGTAAGACCACAAGAGTTAAAAATGGTCCCACCTTCATAGAATTTGCTGTCTCAAGATGTATTGACCAGGTTAATTGACAGTGAGATAAGCAAGTTATCACTAGCTGTAAGGCTTGTTATTTCTGTGCTATCTCTGTGCTCAGGGACTATGTTTGTCTTTGAGTACAAGTTGTGAGGGAACGAGAGCATTTGTATTCCTGCTTATGAATGTCCCAAAAGCACCAAATTGCTTACTGCAGAAAACAGTGGGGCCTGAATCTGTTCCAGTTCAGATTATGCTTGGGACCAGAAGTGTTTGGGATTTTGAAAAATCTATATATACCTAGGGCCCCCTGGTGACACAGCAGGTTATACTGCTGAGCTGCTGAACTTGCTGACCAAAAGGTTGCTGGTTTGAATCCAGGGAGCAGAGTGAGCTCCTGCTGTTAGTCCCAGCTTCTGCCAAACTAGCAGTTGACAGTTCGCCTTCCTTGCTGCTCCTCCTTAAATAGGAATCAGCTTGTTCTGCTTTTCAGCATGACACCGATGAGGTTCATTTAAAATGTCAATTTACCAGTATCCCTCATTAAGAGTAGCAATTCTGGAAATTTGAAATAGAGCAAAGTTAGACCAAGAAACTGAGTTCCTGTATAGAGCTGGAAGAAACAAAGCATTGGATCTGTGAAGGGGGTGTCATAATATTTATAATAAATTGTTAACACAGGCTTCAATTAGATTAAATTATTTGGAGCTCTTTTATATGAAGCACAATAATATGATAGCGCTCTGTGTAAATAGAGAATGTGAATAGAATATTTTACAGCATATTCAAAATGCTCTTGGGCACTGGTAGAAAAAGTGAATAGAGAAGGAACTAATACATAACACTGGCTAACTGTATTTAATTGAGTTTAATTTATTGACAGGTGTTTATTTTGTGTGGTATATAATAATTTAGTCAGATGTGCCAATCAAGAAAGCTAGTCGTGTTTAAATCCCATTGAAATGAACAAAATAAGTGTTTTCTAGATTGGGACCATGTTTTTTGTATACTTGTTTTGTTATTTATGCCAAGGTACAGTTTTAACTTGCAGTTTGGGATGCTAATGGTTACAAAGCAATCTGAAAGTGTTTGTGGCTTCTAAAAGACATATTTTGCTCTTCTTGATTTCTTCTTTAATAAACATGAACAAAATAAAATTGATTTTCTTCATAATATGAAATTATGATGTAACACTTCCTCCCCACACACAAATCCTATCCACTTTATTATCAGGGGTTTTAATCATATTAAATAAATTGGTCAAGTCTCATACCTATTGCTTGGTTTCACTCATTTCCTCTGTCCTCAAACTACACAGTTGCTCGCAGGAGTATGACTGAACAATTACTGTGGGAGGATTTATAAACAATAGAATGATAAAAGATTATCATTCAATGCTACACATCCTGGGACATTTGCCAGTGAAAGTTTGACCAAAGCAGATGGACTTAATTCTTTCCTGGAAGCGATCAGCTGCAATGTCCAAGCCAATGGTAGGTATGTAACTTGTTCAAGATGAGGTTTCTCTTCATTTGAAGAAGGAAGTTTGGAGATGTTTTCACATGCAATGTGGACTTGAGGGTTTGATAGGTCTGGTGAACAGCAGTAGTTTTCTCCTGGATATTGATAGGTTTGTGGGAAAATGTGCATTATCAACACACATAAATATACATTTATTTATTTATCTTATTGATATCCTGCCTTTCTCTACCCCGAGGGGACTCAAGACGGCTTACAGATCGCATCTCCACAGTGCCTTAAAACATACAATGACAATTTAAAACAACCTGAATTAAAATAATACATAATAAACATAATTGAAATACATTCAAATGTCATCACGCCATCCAGAGTCAGGGTCTAAGGCCATTCTGTAGTAAAATTGCACATGACCTATTTGTAACTATGCTCCATTCTCCAACATTAGTACCAAAAGGGGTGGGGCTGGTCAGCTCTGTGGAAAGGAACTGAAATAAATAAAGAGGAAGGAGGTTTGCAGACCAGATTTTCGTTCTCGCAGCCCATTGCTGGGCCATGGCCCACAGGTTGGGAACCACTCCTTTAGAGAAATTCTCAGCTTCTGAGAGCATTATCAGAAGAACAAGCCAGGATTCCTTCAAGGTTTTGACAGTTTGTGCATTAAAACACTTTCCCCTTGGGGCACACAGAATCAACAAGCACAGGAAAATAGCTTGATAATTCAATGTCTTCAACCTTTGAGAGAAAGAATAGTTCATTTCTTCAAGGAACAATACTTCATATCTGGAGAATAAGCTATTAATACAGAAAAGTTGATCCATGGGATGTCCCAGACCTCAACAGCTTTCCAGCAGTAGCCTTGCTCTCCTGGGCAATGCTAATATATGTAATGCTATATATGTAGAGTGGAAAGAGATGGAAAGACACACTGAACAGGCAATGGTTCTCAACCTATGGGCCCCCAGGACCTACAACTCCCCAAAATCCCAGCCAGTCTATCAGCTGTTAGGATTTTTGGGAGTTGAAGGCCAAAACAAATGGGAACCCACAGGTTGAGAACCACCGAGCTAGGGAGAAAGAGTTGCAAAACATGAGTCACAACCTGTGTAGATTCCGAAACCAACATTTCTACAGCAATAGAGTCAAGGTTGTGATGCCCTTCCTAAGGAAGCACCCAGTAATTTCTGGTGATGGAAGTACTACATTGAGGAACCATTTAAAAGGGAAGATGGGATGAAAGTTGCCTTCATAGAAGAATCTTTTGAAAATGAACCCATAATTTCAAAAAGTGAAGTGAAACTGTTCCTCAAGGCACTTGGAAGAGATGAGATGCCATACCAATAGAGCTGTTTGAAGCTATGCAGACATAAACCATCCAAATTTTAACAAAAGTCTGCCAAGTAAAATGGGAACAAAAACAATGGCTCATAGACTGGAAATTCTCAGTATACATGCCAGACCCAGAGAAAGGGGATGCTAGGATTATGGTAACCATCGGACAATTGCACTGATTTCCTATGCAGTTATACTGAGAGACATGATATACAACAGACTTTTACCATTTATAGTTGAAAAAGGTGAGATTTCTCAAACACAAAGAAATAACCTGAAAACAGACATTGGATAATGAATTTTACCAAATAATTTCAGTGGAGAAAACATTGTGTGTTTTATATATAGTACGAAAGTTTTGACTATGTATATCATGAGATATTACAGCTTTCTCGAAAAGAAAAGCATGTGCCACTTGGACTGTCCAGATAGGTAACTTATATTCTCTATAGATCAGTGGTTCCCAACCTGTGATCCGTGGACTATCAGTGGTCCGCAAGAACTAAAATATGGTCTGTGGCCTCACCATTACTACACCGTTGCAATGAGAGTAACTGATCTTGTGAAACTATTATAATGTTGAGGCTTATTAAATATGGTTTTCTGTGGGCAAGGAGATGGTGACTACTGGATGGCATATGTTCTGTATCAGAAATTAGGGCTGATGTGGTCTGTCCAATGTGGATCAGCAGCCCAAATAACCAACCTGAATTTGAAGTTGACCAAAAACTGATTCATAACCCTTTTGGTACTAATGTTGGAGCGTGGTTCCTGGTCAAAGTGGTCCCTGGTCAAAAAAAGTTTAGGAACCGCTACTATAGAAGATGCTACTACCAGGACATAATATGTCGAAACAATATAGTTTCCAGTTGGCAAGAGGATCAAACAAGGCTGCATTTTATTAACCTTTCTATTTAATTTATACATGGTTATCATATGGAAAGCAGGATTAAACTCAGAGGAAGAAAGTGTGAAAATTGGGGGAAGGAAAACGAGTAATTTAAGACATGCAGGCAAGATTATATTAGAAGCAATGACTTGGAAGGACTACTGAGAAAACATAAATATAGGGCAACAGCAGGGCTACAGAGGAAAACTGAGGAAACAAAAATAATGACTAGAGGTGATCTACACAATATTAAAATGGTTGTTGAAGACACAGAAATATAGATTTTCTGAGCTTCAGCTCAGACATTAATCAAAATGGAGACTGTAGCAAAGGTATCAGGAGACAGTGAAGACTTGGAAAAACCGGTATGAAGGAACTAGATAACATCCTCAAGTGCAAAGATATATCACCAAATACCAAAGTCAGAGAGACCTATACCATAATATTTCTGATGTCTGTTCAGCTTGTAAAATCTAGACCGTTTTCTTAGACAAGAGTCAGCTTATTTGAAATAGGGTGATGGGATGTGGGGATTTGTTAAGAGACACCATGATGTGGTGGGTTGACTGGAGAGACATGTGTTGGCAGCTGATTGACTGAGCATGCCAGGAGCAAGAGTTCTGATTGGCTGCTGTCTCTGGCTTGCTGCTGAGAGAAATGGTTTTAACTGCCACTTTCACTTTGGAGAGTGAAGAGAGCGCTGACTGAAAACAGCCAGGAAGGAAATGACTGCCAACTCTCTGAAGCCTGGTTATTTCTAAGGCATGAAGCATATTTTAAAGACTGTTTAAAAGGACTGTTTATTCCCTCTCTTCTCTGTGTGAATTCAGAGAGACTGGTGTATATATTGTTGATTTGTTTGATCTTTTGAACTGAAGTAAAGATACTGTTACTTGTTACACAAGCCCAAGTGATACTTTATTATACTGCAGGGTATATCTTGGTTTAGAAAATGATAAAACTTCTATTTGTTTACATTTACAACCCCCAACATGGGAGAGGGTTCTGTGGACACACCATGCCCTGCCAAGCAAACCAATGAGGCAGAGAGAAACTGAACCTGAACTCGCAGTAAGATAAACAGAGACTGTCATACACTGGCTACATCCTAATATGACTCATTGGAAAAGATAATTTTTAGGGAAAGTGGAAGGCAGTAGTAAAAGAGGGAAGATTACACTACAGATTGATTAACTGATTGTCGAGAGAACCTGACACAGGTAAGGAAATATGTCCTTGCATAATTTTGAAAACGATCCTTTGTATCATTTTGAATGTTTAATAGGTGACAGCAATGAAAAATGAATGCTTCCAAAAATCTGATCCCCTGTCTGCTGTCATGTTATTCAGCAGCTACATGTAAATATTTGAATTTTTGCCTAAATTAGATCACTGAAAAATCCTTCCTGTTTGGAATTTCAAAATGATGTGGCAACCTGTTCCAGGAATAGAAGAAGTTATGCAAAACCTGGCATTAATGACATTTGTCCTGAACCAGCAAATGTAGACAGACTAGTTATAAGTACAAACCCAAGTTTGTTATTTTTAGTTGTCGAGCAACTTCGACTTAAGGAAACTTATGAATTAGAGATAAGGAGCCCCCGATAGTGCAATGGGTTAAACCCTTGTGCCGGGAAGACTGCTGACCTACAGGTCAGCGGTTCGTATGGAGAGAGCGGGTTGAGCTCCCTTTGTCAGCTCCAGCTCCCCATGCGGGGACATGAGAGAAGCCTCCCACGAGGTTGGTAAAACATCTGGGCGTCCCCTGGGCAACGTCCTTGCAGACAGCCAATTTTCTCACACCAGAAGTGACTTACAGTTTCTCAAATCACTCCTGACACGAAAAAAATAAATAAATTAGGGACCTCCAAGAATCATAAGAAAGCTTAGAGAAGACAATGATGATGGGGAAAATGGAAGGAAAAGGGAAGAGGGGCCGACCAAGGGCAAGATGGATGGATGGCATCCTTGAAGTGACTGGGTTGACCTTGAAGGAGCTGGGGGTGATGATGGCCAACGGAGCTCTGGCGTGGGATGGCCCATAAGGTCACGAATAGTCGGAAGCAATTGAACGAATGAACAACCACAACAAAAGAATCACAGTCACCAATGGACTTCCTCAAGTCCATGATAAAGTCCAACAACAATTTGAGTGCTACAAACATGAAAACTATTTTCAAGTTGCAACCAATCCCCAATGCACCATATAGCAGAAGTAAAGGGGTTCTATTCTTAGCCTGAGTTTGGAAGCATATATTATTCAGGCTCACCTGTATCTTTGGCTGCTGCAAGGCCCACAAAGACATTCTTCAAATATGCTGAGTTTTTGATCACTTCATCCTGCTCATACATTGGTGTACCCCCGCTCCGAAACATCACCCCTGCTGTTGAAAAGCCCCAACCCTATTAACATCTTTCCACTCTTGAGCTCGCTTTAAAAATAAATAGCCTCTCTTCTAAATTAGCTAATTAATGTTACATTTGGCCTTTCAGGCAGTTGGAAAGTCAAGGCTCTTAAGTGCTGCTATAGTATCCTCGAATTGCTGTTTGACTTTTGTAGCCTCTCATCTTG